ACTGGGGAACGTTGTATTCTAAGAAAATAGCTTGGTTATATGTATATTATGACAAACCTGTAAAATGGCTTACTAAATGTGTTCGTTTTACCCTTTTTCCTTAACTGATATGTTAAGTGACCTAATTGATATGTTAAACAACACTCTCCTCTGTAAAGAATTACAAAAATCTCACCTAATTGATATGTTAACCAAATTGGCTCCCGGAGACTCATCACCAGGCCTTGATTTTGCCTAATAAAGCCTTTGCTTCCCAAATTTCAAAAAAAAAAAAAAAACTAAAATGACAATTAATTTACATTTGTTTAAAGTAACCTGGTTGTGTACAGAGAGATTTGCGTGTGAGTTTGGCCCTTTACCCTGACCATTCAAAGAGATAAATTATCTACTTTAAATGATTTTCAGCTTTTATTAGGAGACATTAATTGGCTCCGTACCACACTAGGTATTCCTACTCATACAGTACAGCATTTGTTTGCTACTTTACAGGGCTCTTCAGATCCATCCAGTCCTCGTGCATTAACAGCAAAAGCAGAGCAAGAATTACAGTTTGTAGAACAACGAATTAAAGATACATTTTTAATTAGGATTGATCCTAAATTGCCTCTAACTTTATATATTATTAATACTTTTCAATATCCCTCTACAGTTTTGGGTCAAAATGCTATGCCAGTAGAATGGATTTTTGCTAAAACTAAACAATCTAAAAATGTTATTATACATTTATTGGAGACTTTTGCAGTTATAAAATTCCCTCTAAAATCAAAACAGATAATAGACCTGCTTATACTAGCAGAACATTTAAACAATTTTGTGATATCCATAATATCATTCATGTTACAGGGATTGAATATAACCCCCAGGGTCAAGCTATTGTTAAAAGAACACATGGCACTCTTAAGTTACAAATTAAAAAATTAAAAAGGAGGAGTCAGGAGGATATTCAGATACCAATACTATTTAAATTGCAAAACAGTCCAAAAACATTACTGCATCAGACACTGTTTATTTTAAATTTTCTCAATTTACCACAAGGTGAAATATTAACAAGGGCTGAAAGACATTTCGAACAGCAGCAACAACCATATGTAATTAATGAGCCTATTTGGACTAAAACAGCCCCAGAGGCAGAATGGGAGAAGGGCACATTGCTTTAAAAGGGGGAGAGGTTTTGGCTGTATCTCCACAGAACATGGAGTTCAACGGTGGGTCCCTGGACGGTGGATCGGGATCCGCGCCTCGAGGCCCTGTTTGCCGGTCCCGGAGAAAACTCCCCAAGAAACCATATCCTCTGGAGCGAACACAAAACCAGCTAGAGGATAAATCGCTAATCCTGCTGTTGCAGCCGAAAAATACCCTCATCATCTCCAAAATAATATTTGGAAGATTCCAGCCGCTATGCAACCTGTAACCTTGTACAATGTTTCCTATTCAGGAACTAGTCGATCTGTATCTACTACTTATAATTTTACTAGGTTTAAGATGTATAATATTACTGTTTGTGCACCTCTGCCTTATGTCTTTTTAGTGGGAACTTTTAATTTTACACATTTTTCTTGTACTTGTTTAAATTGTCAATTGTTTGCCTGTTTAAATAGCACATTGAATTTCACTAAGCCTTATATTAGTTATGCTGTTACAACAAAAAACTCATATTTGGTTACCTGTGAATCTAACACGACCATGGTCTCAAGACCCAGTAATTTCTGTTACTACTGAATTTTTTCAACATCTGTTAAAACGTACAAAAAGATTTATTGAAATAGTGGTCGCTGTACTGTTAAGTCTGATAACTGTGGCCTCTTTAGCAGCAGTCTCAGGAATAGCTTTACAAACCTCTTTGCAAAAAAAACATGTTGTAGAACTATGGCATGAGAATTCTCATGAACTTTGGTTAACCCAATGGCAAATAAATGCCAAACTACAGCAGCAAATAGACCTTCTTAAACAAACAGTTGAATGGATGGGAAGAAAAATATTGGCTCTTCAGCATCAAGTGTTTTTAAAATGTGATTGGAATTCAACTACTTTCTGTATAACACAACGACCTTATAATCAAACAGAACATGAATGGGAAGTGATTAAAATGTATCTAAATGGAAACACTTCTGCCCAGGAGGAAATAGAATCTTTGCATAATCAAATTGACAAAGATTTTGCAAAGCACAATGATGATGAATCCCTGGCACAATTCGTGCAATTGCTCGCTCAATCTTTGAAAGGGCTAGATTCTAAAGGAATCTGGCACAGCCTTACCCACACTTTAAGCAGCATGGGGCTTAGCTTAATTATAGCTCTCATTGCCATAGTTCTTGTGTATTTTTACTGCATAAGACGAAATGTTACTAATAACCTGGTATTATGGAAATTGTTGTTAAAAAATAAAAAGGAAGGAAGTGTGGGGGATGAGGTGTCACTTTGAAGGACCTAGCCCCCTCGGACCTGCAGTAAACAATAGCTCCCAATATGCGAGACAGAGACAGGACAGGAATGCCTGTTCTCAGTGTAGTTCTTCTCACCCTCTGAAAACCATGCTGTGTGACCTGGCTTTGTTTACAGAGTCATGAGGAAGTGGCCCACCACCTTCTGTGACACTAGCAACAAACATAATTAACAACATTCTTGGGCTATTCTTGGGCTAATGAATTTCCTCCTGGGCTAGAGGAGCTAGGAGAACTGATTGTGCTTGTTTACTTCACTTAGATAGTTTAGAATAAACATTGTAGTCTGTCACATTGTAGCTTGTCACAAAGAATGCTTTTTCACTACTTAATTGTCTGTGCTCTGTGAATTGATCCGGTTTACTATATAAGAATCTTAAAATAAAGATTGTGCGTGCAGTGCAGTGCAGGCAGTAGCAATTGCCGTCTCTTCTGTTTCCTTTCCGAGAGCTGCACCCCCCGTGTCCCAATCTGGTGTTTGCGTGTGTGCCTTTCCCGGAGTCGAGAGTGCACTAGACACTCCCGACAGGGTATCCTTTTATCTTTATTTTTATTTTACTTTCTTCTCCCCTTTTACAACCCAAACTCACCCAGTATAGCACACTATATACATATGAAAACAGCGGAGGCCCTTTGGGTACATTATTTTCTTTCTCTCTCTTAAATCCACAGCCATGAAGGTTTTATTTTCCCTTTCTCTGTCTCTCCCCTAGGCTGGGGAATGAAGGAACTCTTCTTATGGAATGTCAAAAAATTTTTCCTACCATGTAGAAGGGAAGAAAGGGATGTATGGTCTCACTTTTTCTTTCTTTCTATCTTCTCTCTCTTTTTTTTTTTTTTTTTGGTATTTGTTGTTGTTGTTGAGACAAAGTCTCACCTACATTTGAAGGCTTGAGCAGAACAAAAATGTAACCAGTGTTATAACTTATATCATCTACATGTATCCCCAAAGCCTCATGCAGCCATGGGTGGAACTTTGGGAGGTAGCTGGATATACAGTGTGTGATGTCAAAATCGAAGACACAATGCTAGGATTAAGAGTCTGCGTGCTATCTGCCCTAATGGTGGGTAGCCTGGATATAAGGGACAGAAGGACCTTGTTACTTTTTGTTTATTGCTGCTGTTACTTGTCTTCTGCTCTGCAATGCCCATCTGCCATGCCAATCTGCCATGCCATCCTTCCTTGCAGCCAGCCAGCTATGAACCGAAACTTCTATGAACTCTGAGTCAATAAGTTTTCCCTTTTAAGTTTATGTTTTGGATATTTTGTCTCGGTAATGAGAAAAGTGACCATTTCAGCCAGTAAAGTTTAAAATAAAATTAAAACATTAATGGAAACTTTTGATATCCATTACATTTTTAAGCTAGAGGTTATGCTACCAAGAAATTTATAGCACTGTTGCACTCTACTATTCAAGAGCTGAAAAGCACCTTTGAAAACACACGCATACTTGGTAGAGAAGCCTTATAAAACACTAAATATGCCAAAATAGGGGCTGGGGATTTAGCTCAGCGGCATAAGTGTCTGCCTTGCAAGCAGGCAGTTGTGAGTTCGATCCCTGGTACTGATAAAAACGAAAAAGACAAAAAAAAAAAAAAAAAGAGAGATGAGATGGAGATGGAACATGAACTCTTGCAAGCACCTGGACACCCAAACATTCACATTGGACACCACAAGGACTTTTGTCCATTGAGGCGCAAAACATCCAGAGAATTTTGGCAACTGATGTTTACTAAAATCTTCCTCCCTAATGTCCCCTACCTTCTCTCAAACTCTATTAAAAAAAAGCTAGCTTCTCTTTCATCCATAAAGATGGCCCTTTTGGCCTCTGTCTGCCTGCATGGGCACAATAAATTCCATACCATGTTGCCTTTACACAAGCCTGGTGGTCTTGGTTGATCTGTGCCTCATGCTTACAATAAGATCTTTGCTTATTAAAGACACCAATTTCTTATAATAAATGTGTCCCATGTCTAGTGAATTTCAGTTGTTTATAATGGTTTGTGACTAAGATTTCAAACTGTGTAGTCAGATCACCAATATTTATAACATTTTTCCCTTACTGTTGGTTGTTAATCTCATGGAATATTTTTAAGTATTTGCAAACCAGGAGGATCAGCTTTACGAGAGACCAATTACTAAGAACAATGTTCATGGTCAAGGCAGGAAAAAGTGTAATTATATGTTAAAATGTGTAACAATATTAAAATCCTTGAGGCCCCTTTATAAAAGTAATGCAAATGTTTAAGGTGTACCTTAGAAATAGCCAATTTAAATTGCACCTCACTCCATCTTCCCAAGTATTATAATGTCCTGTGTGATAAGTTCAAGAACCAGTGCAAGAATTAAAGAATCAGCAGAAAAAAGGACCAGAAGCCTCATGGTGCTGAAAGGTGCAACAAAGAAAACACATAAAATACAATTTGTTTAAACTACATAGAAAGACTGAAATTTTCCACAGAAGTAAAAGCATCTTAAGTGAATCAGTTCTTTAAAGGCTAAAATTATGTACAATATTCTCATTGAAAGGATAAATACACATATTTCAGACATGATGATTCCAAGCGTATCAAAGCTTAGTTTTATTTTAGGTATTTTATATAAACATTTTAGTACTTTTTAACAAGGTAGTTACAGTCAGAAAGTAGAAATTAAAAATACTTTATGAAAAAAACTACTTGAAATCCTTTTGTGAATTTTATAATGAAATTAAAGCCATTATCTACCCTCCCTATAATGATTTTATTTCTGCTCCTTTAATTAGGAAGTCTCTGTAGACTCTGAACTTGATAAATCATCTTCAATTGTGCCAGGAAATGTTAAATATTTAACTATCTTTATATAGTTAACTATAACTAATCCAATAAATGCTTTTTAGTTTGATTGGATGTCATATTTAAGCAAAAATATTAAAAAATATTTAACATCTCATATGATCACAGTTCACTAGGTCTTTGCTCTAGCCTGGACATTGACCATGGAGTAATAGATGCCTTTCTGTGCAAGCAGCTGCTGGTGTGTGCCATGTTCCTGGACCTTGCCGTTCTGAATCACCACAATGACGTCTGCGTTCTGGATGGTGGAGAGGCGATGAGCAATCACGATGCAGGTGCGGCCCTCTCTGGCTTTGTCAAGGGCTTCCTGGACAACCTGTTCATTATATAAATTTATTGATAATGAAGTTCTTTTCCTTTAATTTCTCCAGTCCACATTTCTTTAACAGTTATGTCACTGAAGTATAACACATTTTTTTAGAAACCAAGGCATATGTTACACTAGAAGTAAATTCACCCAGTTTAGATGACACTGAGACAAAAGATACCTGTTCTTAACGTTATAGCAGTAAACAGAGTTCCTCCAATTATTTGAAAACATTTCCAAATTATCTTTACCATATAATATCCTAAGAAGCAGCTCCCTCATGCAGGTTCACAGAAAACTAGGGAGCCTGAGCTAACACCAAGCAGCCTCCTTCAATGCTGTTTGTTTTCACTACGTTTGCTAAACGTGATATTCTCATTCCCCATGTGGAGTTGGGCAGTCTGCGTTTCAAACAGCGTAGCAAGTTCTCCATCTTTTTTCAACCAAAAATGACCATCCACATCTATCTGACACACACTGTATGACCAGATTTTAACCTTGCCTTACACTCTATAAAGTAACCATTCACATTATTCCTGACGAGATGCAGCAGCAGACATGGGGAAGATGCCACCTGCATGCAGCCATCAGAGGAACACAAAGTGATGCCGAGCTACTCTTTGAAATGGACATGCTCAAGAGTAACTTCTATCATCTTAGCTCTCCTAAATAACGGCTACAGAAAGTGCTTAAATTCTAGTCAAAGCCCACATACACAACAATTAACATGATTGACAAACATAACTTGACTGAAAAACTTAAATTTAAGCTCAGTAAGCACAACTGATTCAAGTATGAATGAACCCACTTTAAATTCTTACCTTTTCACTTTCAGTATCCAGAGCTGATGTTGCTTCATCCAAAAGCAAAATCCGAGGCTGCCTGATGAGGGCACGAGCGATGGCTATGCGCTGTTTCTGGCCTCCAGAGAGCTGGGTTCCTTTGTCTCCCACTTTGGTGTCATATTTCTGTGAATGGGGATTTTGTTAGCATAAAAGTCAAACTGATTGTAAAGGTCAAACACACATTATACACATAGAAAAGAGGTTACCTTTTTGAAAGGTCAATTAGAAAGTGTAGGTTCAGTCGCCAAAAATGGATGTCTACAGAGTTGAGCAACACAAAGCCATGGTAGGTTTAATTTTTATTTTGGAAGATAGACATTTGGGCCTTAAACTTGTATACTTTACCATAAATCGATCTAAATTCTTGTTTGTTTGCTTTGTTTTTGTTTTTGTTAGGAAGAACAGTGTTGCAACATTATTGTCTTCCATCTTCTGGGTTCATTATATTTGAAACAAATATTGTTAGAAAGGAAATTTGCTTTGAAGCTGTGTATTCATTATGTACATCATAATTGAAGCTCATCAAACATCTATCCAGCAGGTGATACTCTCTGTATGATCCTAAAGGGAGTAAAAACTATTCAAATGTTAGTAGTTTTGTGTCTGTTTTTTATGAAGTCACCTTCCAACATTTAAATCATTTCAATGGATGCTAAGGAACTCTGATTTGATATCTCACTTTTAAAACTGAAGTAGCCATTAACATTTTGAATAGAAAATGTCATTAACTATTAAATAGGCTGAAATTATACTGCGACCTTAGGCCCTCGTACTTACACCTGAATTTTGCCTATGAAATTCTGCCCAGTATTGTTTTTATTAGTACACATTTGCAGTACATATGGATTACATTCCTTATGGGGAGTTGGTACATGTACATGACACAACTCAATTTCTAACACATTTTAATTTCCTTTCTTTCCCCCTTCACTTTACTCCCTTTCCCTTCTGTAAAAGGTTTATTTCCCTGTTCTCTATTATCTATTTTCTTTTTGCTCTTTATTTATACTTTCAGTTTCTTATATGAGAAACCATGTGTTATTTAAGTTTGTGTGTCTGACTTTATTTAACATTATAGTCAAGATGCATTCATTTTCCTACAAGTGGCTCAAATTTAATATGGTGCTACTCTGGTAGCACCCCATTGCTTATAAATACATTTTCTTTAGTTATTCATATTTTGATAAATACATGGACCGCTTCCAAGTTTTAGCTATTATGAGTTGTGCTGCTGTAAACAAAAGTATGAATGTATCATCTAAGTAATATGATGTTTTTAACTCTTTTGTAAAGAAACCTGTCAGGGGAATACCTGCGTCAAAGAGAATTTCAACTTTTCACTTTTTGAGGCATCTCCATACTGATTTCCAAAGTGGTTGTACTCTTTTACTTTCCCACCAACAGTGGAGAAGAGTTTCTTTTCCTCACAGCCTCACCAGCATTTGTCATTGCTTGATTTATGATGATGGCCTTATTTGATGGGCTCTCAGTGTTGTTTTAAATTGATTTGTCTAATGGCCAGTAATGTCAGGGACTTCTTCATCCATTTACTGGCCATTTGTACTATTTCTTCTGAGAAGTGAAGTGTTCATGCATTTAAGATGCTCATTTTTGACTGGGTCTTTTATTTGGGGGTCATTTTTTTCAGTATTTTACATTTTCTAGATATTAATCCTTTGTCTAAAATGTAGCTAGCAAAATTTATTTCCCATTCCTTAGGTTTTCTCTTTATTCTGTCGGTTTTCTTAGCTGTGTAGTAGCTTTTTAATTTGAAGTAATCTCATTTGTTTATTCTTGACCTTATTTCTTATGCAATGCAGTTTCTGTTCAGAAACTCCTTGCCTATCTATGTCTTACAGAGTTTTCCCAAATTTTTCTTTCAACAGATCATTAATGTTTTAATATTTGATCAATTTTTTTTTGGTTTAGTAGATGATGAGAGATTGTGGTCTAGATCAGTGATGGGAAAACTTTTAGAGACCAAGTGCCCAAAAGTTCCAAACTCGGAACTCATTTATTTATCACAAAGTGCCAACACTGCAACTAAACCTGAATACTGAGGTTTTAGTTTAGAAAAAACTCATATACTAACATCTTTTGTCTTAAAGATAAACACAGTAACAGAGATTTCAATGATACAAATAGTATTTTATTAAAAGATAATGTCTTGATTACTTTTTGTTGTTGAGACAAGAAGATTTAACTCACAGTTTGTAGAGGTTTCAGTCCATAATCAGCTGGCTCCAAGGCAGGGTGGCACATGGTAGAGGGGCAACAGTTGATGGCAGCAAAATACAGCAAAGCAACAAGAGCAAAGCAAAAGGAGAGAGAGAGAGAGAGAGAGAGAGAGAGAGAGAGAGAGAGAGAGAGAGAGAGAGAACGAACAAGAGACAGAGAACAAATAAGCCTCTCTATCCCTCATAATGTGTGCAGGCTACCAGCCCTAGGATGGGTACAACACTCTTAAATCCCAGCATTAAACTGTGAATCAATCACAAAATCTAGACCCAGCCACCTCTGAAAAGCCTGCCTCCCATGCCTGCATGAGGCTTTGAGGAGGACATCTAGACACAAACTATAACAGGTAAATTTTTGCATTCTGCTAAAATCAGAGCCAGTCCAAGCAAATAGATATATCCTTGCTCTTGTTTTCATAAATTCTTTACAAACAGCTAGATATGATGTTGCACAGCATTAAAAGAATCTGTATGTTAATTAGAATATCTCTTTGCTAAATCTTAGATATTAATTTTCCATAAAACAATTCAAAGCTAAAATCTTATTAGTAAAAATGAATGTATTTTTAAAAATGAATGTATTAAAACTCACAGCCAGTCCAAGAAAATGTGTGTGTGTGTGTGTGTGTGTGTGTGTGTGTGTGTGTGTAGCTGACACACTGATGCACTGTGACGCATGGCTGGCCAGTGCACTAACTGGCCATATGAAAGCTCAGATGAATAACAGCTAATGTGTTATAGCTCATAACATCATTGCCTGGCACTGCTACTCCCTTCCAAGCATGTTCATGGCCCCTGCATGTAGTGTTGTCAGTGCTCGACTGCTGAGGTGATTGATGCTGGGGTGACTTGGTTCAACAGACTTGGCTGCAGCACACATGCCATAGGCTCGCCATCATGAGTGTAGATTAAATTTTCTGTATGTATACAGCCAATTTTCCCAGCATCACTTGTTAAAGAAGCTGTCTTCCCATCAGGGTATATTTTTGGCCCTCTAGTCAAAGATCAGATAGCTGAATATACCTGAAGTTATTTCTGCACACTCTCTTCTGTCACACTGATCTATATATCTATTTTTGTGCAAATACAGTGATACTTTCATTCAGGAATGCTTTTGTTTGCAAAAAAGCATCTGGCAAAACTTTGTTTTTCTTTGCAAACTCTGCATCAGGTGACAAACACAACAGTGACCATCTTTATCACACAAACATAAATCTGGCTATCTTTTCCAACATCATACAATAAATTTTAAGTTCACAAACAGAGGTACCACTATACCACGCTGTTTCTAATCATTGTAACTTTGTAATATAACTTGAATTCAGGATTGTGATGTCTCCTACTTTGCTCTTGTTGCCCAGGATTGTTTCTGTTATTCTGCTTCTCTTTTAGTTCCATACAAATTTTATGATTATTTTCTCTAATGCTATAAGGAATGCTGTTGGTATTTTCACTAGTAATGCACTGAATACATTGGCTTTGTGAGTATGGCTATTTTTAATATATTTGTCTTAGTTACTTTTTACTCATCGCTGAGACAAAATACTTGAAGCCCAAAATTGGGAAAGGAAAGGTTTATTTCTTACAGGTTTTGGAGGTTTCAGTCCATACTCAGTTGGCTCCAAGGCAGGCTGGCATGGCAGGCCATGGTTCATGGCAGCTGCAAACAGCAAGGCTGAAACCGGCAAAAGAGCAAGACACACCTTCTTCCTGCCATTACATCACATCCTGGCTCCACCCCTATGTGGCTGTAGCACAGACACCATCAACCCAAGCACTAGATAATGAACCAATCACAAATTCACAATGCAAACTCATGAGGCCTGGGGGCCACAGATATAAACCATGACAATATTCATTCTGCATATCCAAAAATATGAGATATATTTCCGTTTTCTGATGTCTTTGTTAATCTCCTTTTCCAGAATGATGTATTTTTGTTGTAGTGGTCTTTCATTTCCTTGGTTAGGTTAATTCCTAAATAGTTTGATACTCAATAGTATAACTCTCAATAGAATGGTATTATTTTTCTACTTTCTCTCTCAGCAAGTTCATTATTAATACAGTATAGGAACGCTATTGATTTGTTTGTGTTGATCTTATATATTGTTACACGACTAAATTTGGCTATTATTTTTAGGAATTTTTGGTGAAACTTTTTGCACCTTATATGGGACCATATCATTTGCAAATAATAAGTTGGATTCTTCCTTTTCCATACATATACCTCTTACCTCTTTCTCTTGTTCAATTACTCTGGCTAAAGATTTGACTACTATATTGAAGAGTAGCAGTGATAGTGGACATTCTTGTCTTTTTCCTGGTTTTAAAAGGAAAGCTTTCAGCTTTTACCCATTTAATATGATGTTGGCAGTAGGTTTGTAGGCTTATATCAGATTGAGATAAGGCCTTTATGTATATTCTTTTTCTTTAAGGCTTCTATCATGCATAGATTGATGCTGGATTTTGTCAAGGCTTTTTTGTGCATCTTTTGAGATAATCATGTGATCTTTGTCCTTGTTTCTGTTTAAGTGTTGTATTGCATTTAAAGATTTGCATATGTTGAACTATCTTTGCATCCTTGCAATGAAGATCACTGGGTCATAATGTATGATGGTTTTGATGATTTGTTGTATTCTGTGTATCAGTATTTTTGCATCTAACATTCATTAAAGAGATTACTCTGTAGTTCTGTTTAGTTGATGTCTGTCTGCTTTTGGGATCAGGGTAATGCACCTCAATTAATTTGAGAGTACTCTTTCCCTTTCCATTTCATTAAGGAGTTTGAGGAGCACCAGTATCAGATATACTTTGAAATTCTTATAGAATTCAGCCATAAATCAATTATGTCCTATGATTTCCTTAGTTGGTAGGTATTTTTTTTAAATTATGGCTTCAATTTTATCACGTGTTATCGAATTATTCAGCTTTCATATTTCTTGGTTCAGTTTTGATAATTTGCATGTATCAAGAAATTTACCCATTTCTTCTGATTCTCCAACTTCTTTGAGTATAAGTTTTAAAAGTATTCAAATCAGTAATAATCTTCTGGATTTCAGCAGCATCTATTGTGATTTTTCCTTTTACTTCTAATTGCATAGATTTGAGTCTTTGTTATCTCTCTCCCATTATGAAACTCACTAAGGGGCTTCTCTTTTGCTTATTCTTTTAAAGAACCAGATCTTCAATTCATTGATTCATTGTACTATTTTAATCCAAAGTCATTTATTCGCTGATCTTTATAATTTCTTCTTTTATACTAGTTTTGCATTTGTATTGTACTTATTTTTCTAGGACCTTGAGGTATATCATTAGGCTATTTTGGCTTGCTTTGTAATTCTGATGTGGGTATTCACAACTATAAGCTTCCCTCTTAAGAGTGCTTTTGTGTCCTATAGGTTCGGATATGTGGTACCAGCATTTTTATTTGTGGTACCTACCATGCCTAGACTGTGGTGCTCAGAACAAGGTTTCTCATTTGACAACACAATGAGGAAAGCCCTGTTGATGTTTTGGAAGACTCAGAACTAACTCTGAGGTGAAGCTCTACTGTTTCAGAAAGTAGGTACACAGAAGGGTAACTCATGTGAGTGTAGGTGTTACCAGATTGCATTGATATAATATTGATTCTCTTGAGGCAGAGGACAGTGCTGTAGGAATGAAAATAAGCCAGCCTCTGAAGGATTAGGTGAATCATAGCACTAATCACTCAAAAGTAGGTCTGCAGACATATAGCAAGACTTAGTATGTTGGTCTATACATAAAAAAAAGACTCATAGTCTCTGCAGGTATGCTATGTAACATATACAGAAGATTCTAGAAAGAAGGCACCCTGTGATAGACAAAATCAGGTTTTTGCAAGAGATAAATAATAGGTTAGATTAAAATACTGAATAAAAATCATTACCTATATTTGTATTTTATAATCTGCATCACCCAGGCTATTAAATGCCAGACTATTGCATTCTACTACCAGAATTTCTTAGTCAGTACATGTAAGGTGAGGTCTAAAGATCTGTATTTCTTTTTTTGGTACCAGGGATCGAACTCATGACCACACACTTGCAAGACAGGTGCTTATGCGGCTGAGCTACATCCCTGGGCCAAGATTTGTATTTCTAACAAAGTGCTCATGCCTATCCTTTGAGAACCATTGATTTCTCAATAGCACAGGGGTTCATAATTTTATACTTTCAGTGCTAAACCTCAAGAATAGTCAGTTGACCATGGTGAACATACAGAAAAGGGACTCTTGGAAGGCGTTAGGGCCATTTGGTTGCTACGCTTTACTTGAGGAGACTGCCTTCCTCATCAGGTGGAGATTACTGAGCTTTATTTTGGGGGCATTATCTTATAACAACAGAAAAGAGATATTGGGAAGAGGCAGATTAGTTAACTTACTGTTTTACAAAACATGGGAAACTAACGAGCCCTCAGAGATGGTGCATGCTTGCACTTATCTAACTTGGTAGAGAAAATACATCCATAAGGCAACACCCCAGGGAAGATTTCAACTATCAACCCTATAAATGGAGCTTGGGGCCAACAAACATGTGAAATAATCAGAGATTACAATATCCCAATGATACTCAGAGAGAGTCCTCTTTCTGCCATGAGTCCATTTTTCCAACCTGGCCTGACTTCACAGAGCCAGGTTTAAAACTTCAAGAACTACAAGGTGGTAGAAGGAAGTAAAAGGGAAGGCATCACCATGTTTGCTTCTTAAGAAGTATCAGAAGCAGCATGGTCATTTATGTTACCTGTAGGCCTAGTACTTGGAGGAAAAACCTTCCAGATATCCTGCCTATTCCTAGGATGAAGACTGGATGAGCCTCAAACCCACAAATCCAAGAACTAATTCTACATCTTGTCACCCTGTAGTTTCTTCCTCACAAATGTTTGCTTCCATACAGAGAGATACAGGTGACCAAGTAAACATATTGCTAACAGGGACAGGAAGTATGATCAGAAGCTTTTCAGTACAGCTCAGTGTAGAATAATTGAAACTGTCAGGCCCTGGGTTTGATCCTCAGTACATCAAAGAAAGAATGGGAGAGTGTGAGTGGGGGGAGGAAGAAAGGAAGGAAGGAAGGAAAGTAGGAAGGAAGGAAGGGAGGAAGGAAGGAAGGGAGGGAAAAAAGCAAAGCAAAGAAAGAAAGAAAGAAAAGGAAGAAAGAGGGGAAAAAAAGAAAGAAAGCCAAGCATGGTGTTGTGCGCTTGTAAGCTCGGCCCTTGGGAGGCTGGAACAGGGTACTGAGTTCAAGGCCAGCCTGGGCTATAGAGTGAAATCAAGGGAGATTAAGGCCAGCCTGAACTACATAGCAAGACTCTGTCTCAAAAAACCAAAAAATAAAAAAATAAATTACAAAAGGAAGAGAAGAAAACAAAGGTCAAGGAAGGGAAGCTGCTCCACACTCCTGGGTTCTTACTGTGGAGGGACACTTACGTTAGGCAGCGACTCGATGAACTGGTGGATGTTGGCCTCCCTGGCTGCCTGCTCGATCTCCTCCTGTGACACGGTCCGGCTGTTGTCTCCATAGGCGATGTTCTCCCCGATGCTGCAGTCAAACAGGATGGGCTCCTGGGACACGATGCCCAGCTGTGCTCGCAGCCACTGCACATTCAGTTGCTGTATTTCTTTGCCATCCACAAGCTAAAAAGAAGAGTACACACATCACCTTCTGGACCAGCACACTTTGAATTTAGCAGAATTGGCACCATTATTTCATGCTTTAAAAGAGTCAAGGTACTTTGAGGTAAGTTAATCTAACCAAACTGTAATATTTTTTGTCTTTTTGAGACAGGGTCTCACTATGCCGTTCATGTTGGCCTTGAGCTCACTTTGTAGCCCAGGCTGGTCTCGAACTTGCAATGATTCTCCTGCCTCAGTCTCCCAAGTGCTGGGATTACAGGTGTGAGCCACCATGCCCAGCTCAAACCATAATTTCAAACTTTCATAAAACAAATCTGTTTGTAATTTTGCAACCCTTGGTTCTGACATATACCCTAATAGGCAGAATAATGCTCCCCCTCTCTAAGATAGCCATGTTCTAATCCTGGGAACTTGTGAATATAGTTATATATCAAGGAAGAATGGAAAGAGCATATGGAATTACAGCTGGTAAACAGCTGACCTTAAACTGTGACAAATATTCTGGATCACTCTGGTAAACCCAATATAATCTTAAGAGTTAGTAACCAGACAATGGGGAAGTAGGAAGTAAGAACCAGAGAATGCAACACCAAAAGATTTTCCAACCATTACTACCTCCGAAGGAAAAGAAGGGCTAGAAAATATAGAGAGGTGGATTATTCTTTGCAGCCCACAGAAGGAACACGGCTCTGGCGACACAGTGATTTTAGGCTGAGAACTATTTTGGATTTCTAACATCCATAAGAATAAAGTAATAAACTTGTATTGTTTTCAACAATGAATTTGTGGTGAAGTTTTTGAGCCATAAGAAACTACCACAGTACTTCATTCTTCTAGGTTGTATCCTGGCATTCGTGTTCTTACTTCTCTTGTTTTTCATACAAAAAAGTGGCCTGGATGAGAGTGAAACTAGAGTAACCATGCCCACAAGCTGGGCTGGTAGACTGGATTTCTGACATACTCAAGTTTGAAGAATCAGATGCAGTAACTCAATGGAATGGAAGTATCAAACAGCTGCTGCGACATTTCTCAGTAGTTTTGATCTTGGGACAGAGAATGTCTCTGACTTACTTGCCTTGTGGGGAAAAAAATGAGAATGACAATTCCTTGTTGTAGCCTGGCATAACTGACGTAAGCTTGTGCCCTGTATTTGACCCAGAAGAGTGAAAAATTACCTAGAGTACAATCCCATGAGAAAAGCAAAATAAGCTGCACCCACAAGAGAAAAATTAACCTACTCAACAAAGAAGCAGGTTGTGTGTCAACCAAAACTAATGTAAGATTCTAGCTAAATTGTTTCCTACAGGATGTCTTTTTTGTGGTTTTGTTTTAAAAGCTGTAACTTTCTAGTTCAGGGCCACTGGGTGGGTCACCGAAACAGGGGTCTCTATGCAAGTAGTCCTGAGCTCAGCTAATGAAATTCCAAATTCATCAATTAGGCTGCTTGGATTCCCATATTGCTCATGAACCCACATCATTCCTCAGCTCACAAAAATTGAGAATTGAGATCATAAATGGCTCCACGTAGCACAGCACTAAGCATAGAGTAAGTGCTCAGTGGCCAACAGCAGTTGGTAACTGTGATGCACTTGGAACTGCAGAGGATAAAGAGATAGATAAGAACATGAAAGGCAGATGGAGCCTGCAGTATCGAGCCAAAGAGTAGGAAAGAAGGATTGCCTTCTACCTAGTAATCCAGCTGCCCGAGTGATCTGCAGAACCAGAGAAGGACCCTTTACAGCCTTGCTGAGAGCCAGCCCTATTCTCTGAGACACACGTTATCTCTACAGTAATCTGCTTTGCAGAGGATTTTTCTGGCATTCATATGACAGAGGTGTTCATTACCTTTCAGGAGGACACCTGAGACTTGGATTTGAGTTTTTCCCATAGTGGTTCTAACTACCTACGGGGCCACATATATTCTGTATTCCTATGTACTTTGCTAGAGGCTCTGAGAAACAGCTGGTCAAAAGAAAAATAGATCTTTGCTTAAGGAAAACAGCTCGCTCTTGTAAAAATGGCAGGTACAGGGATGGAAAGACCATGGTCTTACTGGTCCCAAATCCCGCTGCCATGGAAACTTCTGAGCATTTGTGCACCAGGCTTCCTAACAGTATTAATGGGTAAAGGTGAAAATATAGGGTGGGGAAAAAAAGTAAAAGCTATAAAAAGATATGGTTTAAGAAACAGGTCTTTTTACATGAACATGTTACTTAAGAAATAGAAATATGAGAAAGGTGGAGTTAAAATTCTTCCAAATTTATATTCCTGGGAGTAAACACTATCTAACTAATATAACCACAGGCAGCTTTGAATGGTATCAGCTTTATTATTATTTTATTTTATTTCATTTTATTTTAAAGAGATGAAGAGAAAACAAAACAAAAATGATACAGGATTTCAAAACAAGAAGATACGAAAATAATGATCACTATATTGTATATTGTTATCTTTGAAATAGCTGTTCAGATTATAAAACACGGGTATGCAAAACAGATCAAACAATATAAGCAACACCAGTTTCTTTTAATGAACTAATAGAATTAGTAGTAAAATTATCTTAGCTAATTGTACCTTTCCCTTCCTTCTTTTTTCTTTTTCCCCTTCCCAGTTTTTTTTTTTTTCCTTTTGAGCAGTTTCTTTCCCTTTCACAACATATATTGTACCTTTTGGATCTAATTTACTCTTCCAGTTTCTTACACAAGGGAGATAATACAATGCTTACACATGTGAATCTGATTTATTTCACTCATAAGTATGATTTATAGTTACACCCATTTACCTATAAAAGCCTCAAATTTATCTTTCTTTATAGTGCCACTGTATAAAAATACCAAATGTTTTTTTATCTAGTAGATGAGCATTTGGGTTATTACCAAGATATAGCCATTACAAACTGTGCTGCTATAAACATAGGTGCACAAAATTGCTGTGGGTACCAGTAAGTTATTTCTTCATTATACTGAATACATAACATTTTGAGCCTTTCCACCTCTGTACAACACATTAGAATTACAACCTGTCCAAAATCTGTGTTAGCTAACGTATTCTTTTTTATGAAAAACTTGATTAGAAGCTCAGAATATAAAAGAGCTCAAAGCCAAGGCTTGGCAGTATTCTGATGGAAGAACAAGAAATTCTGGGGAACAAGTGAAAATGCTGCAAAAGATCTTGGCCTAAATCAAAGCCTAACTAGGAAAACCAACAAGGAACAACGTAAGGCTAAAATAAAATAAATACCTCTTTTGTAGACTGTTAAATTTACTACTTATTTTAGCACAAATACTAAAATATTAACTATATAATTGTGCTCTGAAATAATAATTAAAAATCAAGTGGGCATTCAGTCTTTCTGGTAAGCTGTGCGAGCTGCACGGGGTTACAGGAAGAAAGAAGTGAGTGCATACCAAGTCCACCATGCTAGGACTGGGAGGACCCAACAGGAATCCAACTAGCCAGCCTTTCTGGTAAGCTGAGCAAGCCACATGGGTTCCAGAAAAGAAAAGTCAGAGAGGGCCTCCCATGAGCCTACTGGAGTATGGGCTGAGAATCTCACACACATATCCGCTGCTAACCTGTGAGCAATCAGTGGATTCTGAGGACAGGCTGAGTTGATAGCAACGAAAGTACATAAAACAACTAAATGACTGTTGGTTGATTATGCAGGCCTAGGACCCACAGTCGGAGCCTGTCTTGGGAGGATGACGGGATGCAATATATAGTAAATAAGGGGGATTCCCTTCTATCTCATGAAATCCAAGATTGTTTTCACTGTTTTGCTTTGTACTGATTATTTTGCTTTATCCAATATTTTGTTTTGATTGGTTTTCTTGTTTTGTTTTTGGTTCGATTTTGCTATACCTGATGGAAAGGACAACGACTGTGAAGATAATGAGATGCCCTATGGTAGCTACTGTTGTTTTCCTAATATCCTGCTTTGAAGTTCTGTACCAATTTTGCTGCTTTGTTTTGATTGGCTTTGGTCTGTTTTGTTTTGTTGGATTTTACTATCTTTAAAATTAAAAAAAATCAAGGGCATTATATTGTAGTGTTGTGATAAGCATGTTTCACACATTCTCTTGTTTAATCTACAGGATTCTTGAAAGTAGCTGTGATTTTAGTATCACATGTATTGTCTTATTTCCACTGGTTTTAACATGTTGTATCTTACTATATTTTACTATATGTGATAGTATAAACAAAATTTTTTATAGGCAAAGAGATAATATAGAAACTGTTGTTCGTTTTCTATTAGCTGGTTCTAAATACCCTGTAATTCTTTCATTCTTTTGAATGGCTTCACACTGTCTTGATATGCTTGATGCTATAGCATACGAAGTTATACTCAAATAATTCAAGGAAAGAGGCACTAAGGTGACTACTATTATGTTAGATTATCTGGTGGTGAAACACAATGATGCTTAAATTGTTCAGTTCTGATCTGCATTGTTCTGTTACAATGTCCTCTTTTATCTCAATCTCCCCCCCTTTTTAAAATTAATCTATTTTTTCTCATTTTTTTAATTAAGGGAAAATTAAATTAAAAAATAGCGGGACATATTATAGTAACTATTTTGTTTTCCTATTAATCTGATTTGAACCCCAGTATTGCTCTCCCCATCTTGTTCTGTCTGATTATACTATATTCTATTCTGTTTGATAGTATCAAGTTTGAGGGTATAGGCAACCACTTTGAAGGCAATAAGATATACTATGATGCCCATTATGGTTTGACTATTATCTTTTTTTGAAGTCTTGTAAGGTCTCTAGTATAGGTTTTATTGATCTTGTTCTGTACTGTTTTGATCAATTCTATTATACCTGATGATATAGGCAACTCTTTTTAAAATAGCAAGAGGCACAATGGTAACCACTTTTGATCACCTGGTATTCTATTTTTGCATCATGTACTATGCCCCTCCTTCTGTTCTGACTCTGTTTTGCTTAGTCACGTTTGGTTTTATTCTCTTCAAAAAAAGTAATAAGAACTGTGGGAGTAA